AACCTTTATAACGTTTTTTATAATACTTATTACTAAACCAACTTGCTTCTACTAGTGTTCCTCAACAGAAGAGACAGTGTTTTCTTCTTAGGTATTAATCTCCATACCCAACAACACCAAGCAAATAAGAGGCAACCAGTAAACATTTGCTCATCAATCAATAAACAGTTCATTTTAATGAAAGCACACTTAATATTTGCCATGAGGATGGTTTACTCTTTCATAAACACTAAAACACTGAAAGAGGTGCCTTTTCATACACCTAGTAAAATGCTACTACATCAGTTCAATATTGCCCTCTAGATACAAATCTACACTCTGTAAATAAGCTCTACTACCTGCTCACAGCCTGGCTCTGAATTATTTTTCAGTCTCATCTCCTACCTCTGACCTGTTGGTCGTGTACCCTGACCACAGCAAACTTCTGCCTGCTCTCTAAACCCACCAGGCCTAGAGTCCTTCACCTACTGCACACTCCTACTCATCTTCCAAAACCAGTCACCACTTCCATGATGCTTCAAGGGAGAATTAATCCTTGTGTGCGCCTCTCACAGCACTACATTCCAACCTCCCTTACCTAGTGAAACAGACTATATATTTTTTTAACATCTTTATTGGAGTATAATTGCTTTAGAATGGTGTGTTAGTTTCTGCTTTACAACAAAATGAATCAGTTATATATATACATATGTTCCCATATCTCTTCCCACTTGCGTCTCCCTCCCTCCCACCCTCCCTATCCCACCCCTCCAGGCGGTCACAAAACACCCAGCTGATCTCCCTGTGCTATGCGGCTGCTTCTCACTAGCTATCTACCTTACGTTTGGTAGTGTATATATGTCCATGCCTCTCTCTCGCTTTGTCACAGCTTACCCTTCCCTCTCCCCATATCCTCAAGTCCATTCTCTAGTAGGTCTGTGTCTTTATTCCTGTTTCACCCCTAGGTTCTTCATGGCATTTTTTTTTTCTTAAATTCCATATATATGTGTTAGCATATGGTATTTGTCTTTCTCTTTCTGACTTACTTCACTCTGTATGACAGACTCTAGGTCTATCCACCTCATTACAAATAGCTCAATTTCATTTCTTTTTAAGGCTGAGTAATATTCCATTGTATATATGTGCCATATCTTCTTTATCCATTCATCCGATGATGGACACTTAGGTTGTTTCCATCACAGACGGTATTATAACCACCAAATCCCTCTAGGAATAAAGGTACCTAAAACAGAGGCTCATTCATTTTGATAATCCGAACGATACCTATCACTGTACCTTGTAAACAAGAACAAAATCACTGATGAATGCTAAGAAGAGAAAACAATAAATGTCATTCAAGCATTCTCTGATATAACCTGGAAATCTATGTGTATGTGAGCACACACAAAAGATCACTATGAACTCATAAACCACTAGACTAAATGGCAATTATGGCTCTGCAAAAGGATTCATCATTTTTATCAGAAATACTTGCAATAAGGTCCCCTTTAAAAATAAACTCTGAGTATTAAAATTATCCCTTTTATCCATTTTGTTACATGACTTTTCAGAACCACTTTAATACAAACCTAGATATATTTCTGACTGGCAACAAGACTATCATGAAGTCCAAATTAGACAGCCAAAAACTCAAATTTTAAAAAGCAACCATTAGTAATTAAATATCAAAATCACCCAAGAACCCTTTGAATCTGATTTCAGATCTCTACATTTTCTAAATCAAGTGTTTATTTTCTTTCCTCCACCACTGTCTGTGTTTTAGTCTATCTTTTGTGCAAGTCACTTTGTAAAATGCTTCTTTCAATCATCTCTTAACCAAATCACTTGTGGAAGGTTTAAAGAACAACATGCAACAAAGTTAACGTTTATTATCAGTTGTGTCAGAATGTGAGTCAGATACATGTTGTAAAAATTCAAATACAACAGGGCACAGAGCTGACTTGATCTGCATAAAGTCTTTGTCAAGTTAACTGTGAGCTATACACAGAAACTGGAAATAAATGAATTTGAAATTCTAAGATAAATCTTTCTTCATTTTAGTAGTTAACGTTAATAGCCACCATTTAATGAGCTATTCACCAGACATTTCACATAAATTCTCCCTGATCTATCCAAAAGCCCTTAGAAGAAATCTGAGCCTGACGTTAAATGGATGGCCAAGGTTACACAGGTAACAAGTAGTTGGATTGAAATCCAAATCTGAATGGTCCCAAAGATTAAAACCTAATTCACTTCTATGCTAACATTGTGTAATACTGAAATATTAAACTAAATTTCTACACGTCTCTTTGCTTCTTTGAACAGCTGAAGAATAAATGTTTCTCAGTACCTTCTTAGCACTGCAATAATCATTCTGTGAAGCGTTACTAAGACTCTATGCCTGAAGTCTATGCTTTGTGAAGTCTATGCCTTTTGAATATGAAAATTAATAAAGAAAACCTCAATTAAAGTTAGAGTTGGGAATGGCCCGTAGAGGGAGCTCTCATGCATTCTCACACTCCATTATTTGCATGCACTGACCTTCACTTACAAGCCCCACTGGAGGAAGCACACCCTGCACTCTCAAACAGAAAGTACATCTACTTTACAACGCCAAAGGAAGAATTTCTCCTTGCTCAGCAACAGCCCAGGCAATGAGAAACATCTCAGCTCCAGAAATGAAGTCATCACCACCCTAAACTCCTACTTTCCTCCCTTGAACTTTCATTTAGAACAGCCCCTCCCAACTCCCTCCTTTTCCCTATAAAAGCAGGCTCCCTTTGTTCTCTGGACTTACCTACAGTTCACCATAAATTGCATGTCCCAAATAGCAATTCTTTGCTGTTCCTGAATAAACCCATTTTATTGTTTTAGAAGTCAACAACTTCTACTTTAATAATTCTATATAGTTAAACTGTTTTGAATAGCACACAACAGTAACTTTCTTATACTGGTCTCAATGCATACCTTTTCAGAGAAGTTTCAGCATTATGCTACATAAAACTACCAACTACTTTCTCTCAATGCTACTTAGAGGTAACCTCCACAGAGCTTAGCTTTTAGGTATTAAATGCTCTGAAACTAGCCTTAAAAATAAAGGAATGAATTAAAAGGGGCTCTTTAAATATTTGATTAAATACCAGGTGGTAACATCAATTTCAAGTATGAATTCCATGCTGGTGAAGGAAAAAAGAGTTTCAATTCAATAAAAATTCTGTTCCATCAGCTCTGCAAAATTTCATGGTTCATCAAAGCTTCTTCACTGACGGTACTTGTTTAGAAAGGATCAAGAGCCAAGTTTAATATAGGAATTATTTAATTATGTTTAAGACAGTTGTATGTGGCTACTTACTCTGGCATCAAAGTAATTAGCATTAAGATCAAAGGCTTCTTGCATGAATCCAGAATACAAACTTGTTTGGATTTTATGTCATGGAACCATAGAAAGAATCCAGTAAGTCAACTTTCACTGAATTTATTTATGCCTGCCATTTCCTTTGGGGCAAATGTATTTTACAGGCTGCTGGCAAAATAAGAGACTCAAAACTGGTTGGCTTTTATTGTTTGGTATTAACTCTTGAAGCAGCAGCTATAGAGCTGAAGCTAATTCAGCCATGTTGCTGGTTCAAAAGGGAACTTAATGACCTCAAGCCAAAGGCATTTATAAAATCAGTTGACAGGAAACAGATTAACTGCTATTATGATGTTGCTCCTGAAGCTAGGAACTAGAAAATCGCGATGAATTATGATAATTAGAATACCTCAAAAGCAGAGAAGAGCTACCAGCTACTTTCTGTTCTTTACTAACCTCGCAACAAAGCTTTTTTTTTTTTTTTTTTTTAATTTTCCGAACACTCATCCCCTTGTGCTACAACTGTTTTATTATTAACATCAATGAAACCTGTAAGAACAGCTGTATGTGTTCACAGAATTTCTTAGGGATGAAAGGAGATTCCAAAGATCATCTAATGCAACTAACTAACATCCAAAGAGTACGTTCCTTTTGTCATATCCCCACTAAGCAGCCAATGGATGGACCATCTTCTACCTATTAAAGCAGCCCACTCCATCTTTAGATGAATCTTGTAGAGAGATTTTATTCAGTAAATAAATCTGTCTCACTATTGCTTCTACTTTTTTGTATCCTTAAAAGTCATGAAAAACAAATCTAACTCTTCTTTCATATGAAGTCCTTTGAGCATCTAAACAGAGTGACTCTTTCTCCAGCTACCCCCATTCCTTCAAATGTTCCCAACATGAAATGCTATTAAGTCCCATGTCTATGTTGGGCAAGCTTCAAAAATTTTAATATGTGTGTATATCTAAAATTATTTTAATTTTTAAAAATATTATATAAAACTGTGAGTTACCAAAACATATTAGTTATCAACTTAAAATGAGCTGATGCTCATTCACAGCAAAATCTTCCTCACAAATGTGTATATTTATACTAAAACAATAAATTTAGTCAGACACAAGACTGTTTTTAATACTATTTAAATAATTAATTGCCCTTAATTGTCTCTAATGTATACCAGTGAAATGTTCACATGAAAGGCTATTTGATAACTAAGATTTTAATAAACATTTAAAGTAACTTTCTACAAAGTTTGGGAGCTTTGTTCTACAGTTTATTTGAATAACAGGATGAATTATATAGTTCAAGTAATATAGATGATGATCTCCCTTCCATAACATTGACAACTTTCACCGAAAGTCATACAAACAAACAAACAAAAAGTAAAAAATTCTTAATTTTTTAGCCTAAGTCAGAAACTCTGAACTTTAAAGGCGTTTTAGTCATCTGATTTGTGAAGGTCCTCAGATGGACTGAATTATCTATTTCAAGATCCTCACTTTCAATGTCAGTAGGAGTTATCTATAACATTTCACATGTCCTTAGCTTAAACAGTGGTTCATTAAACAGTCATCTGAGTGCTCTCTACACAGACTGTTTTGAAAGGTTAACATATCCAAATTACAATGACAAAGTTATTAAACATTCATACACAATCACTTACCCAAGACTCATGATATAAAACTGTTAGTAGATACATTGCATAATCATAATTCTGTCTCTTTAAGGGGCACCTTTAAAAGACAGAGAGAGGAAGGAAGTCAAAATTCTAAAAATTCAGTACATGGAAAAATTTGCAAAGTATACAAATACTAAATACAAAGGATAACTCATATTCAGGAATTCCCTATCTGACTTAGGAATATTCTGTTATTGGAATAAAAATGATCTATGTAGTTTATGACTTGAGGATATTGAACACTGATGTTATTTTTACTTTTATTTAGAGGATATCTTTGCTTTCATCACTAACAAAGTTATTTATATCTGATAATAGCTTTACACTATTTTTAATATGAATGTGTCCAATCCAAGTGTCCTTCACGATCTCAGGGCTAAGAGTCTGCGATGGTGTGAACATACCTGCTGAGTTCATTTAAAGAATACAGAGAGGGGGTTTCCCTGGAGGCGCAGTGGTTGAGAGTCCGCCTGCTGATGCAGGGGACACGGGTTCGTGGCCCGGTCCGGGAAGATCCCACATGCCGCGGAGCGGCTGGGCCCGTGAGCCATGGCCGCTGAGCCTGTGCGTCCGGAGCCTGTGCTCCGCAAGGGGAGAGGCCGCAATAGTGAGAGGCCCATGTACCGCAAAGAAAAAAAAAAAAAAAAAAAAAAAAGAATAGAGAGAGACTCTGATGCTAATCTAAATGTTCACCCTGATTTCCCCAGAGGTGATTCTTTTAAAAATGAGCTACACTACACAATGCTATAATTTTTTGCTATCATATTTAAAATGAAACTAATGACCTAATATTAGATAAAATTTCTACACAAGTAAGAGCTGGCATTAACTTTTAGGCTAATAAAATAATATAGAAAAGGAAATAATTACTTCTAATTTCTTTAAATATAAAATTACCCTATGAAAATTGACTTTAACTGGACTCTGTTTATTCTGTACTTAGGTTTAATAGTCCTCTATTCTATAAAGTTGTTACCATGAAACACACACACACACCACACACACACTCACACTCACTGACACTTATAAACTTAGCAAAAAAAAATTACCAGAAACTTACAGAATTTCTAACAATAACATTTTAAAAGTATTTTTTAAAATTGCACAAACTAAAAACACAGCATTATTTTACATTCTCTAAAGTTAAAGCTAGCAAAAAGATATTATTCATAAATTTCAAATTTATTTCTCCTATATGGAAATAATCTAAAATCACGGTTCCCAAGCTTTTCCCACCTCCACACTGTTGCCATCTCTGTATGTATGTTATGCTACTTCTTTATACCACTAAGAAGCAAAACATAAAACCTAATTGATATTGACACCTCCAAATGCTTTGAAATTAAGATAAGGAGGGAGAGAGGATATCTGCCCACTTGTTTTTCTTTATATTTTGACATAATTTAGAAACAACCAAAGAATAATTCTAGAAATAAAATAACCATTTAGCAAAAACATACCAATAGCCTTTCTTTACCTCAAATGACCTAATTTATAAATTCATATACAATAAATTTAATAGTGCTTTTATAAACTTCTATGCTAGCACTGAAATTCTGCTTATTTACAAAAATGCCTTGATAAATTAATTTCCATATTTAATAATTTTGATTTTGAAATATAAGATTTCTATACTTTGACTTTGCAGAAACCTGTTCAAGTATTACTCACTGGCAAGTCATTCTTTCGTTTCCGTCTAACATCTTCCCTGAGTTTTACATACAAAAATATATTAAAAATAACAATTTAACTCAGCTAGGCAAGCCTCTCCATGCACATAAAGATCATAGCAACAGGAGGCTACACATAAAGATCACAGCAACAGGAGGCTAGTGTGAGGATATTAAAAATATGAATGAGACAACTTCTCTGACCTAACAGGTTAATACAAGGACTGCCAGGGGACTGGAGGACAATAAAGCAACACATGTGACAGATCTGCTGAACTTTTCTTCCTTTACCTATCTGTCTTGATGGTAAGCACATCTGTGCTCTTGCAGTATCGATCTCCTACAAGTTTAATAAGCTTCTTCTTTGCGTGATCATCTAAATTCAAACTGGAAAGTTCAACCTTAAAAATACAAGAAAAAAATTTTTTTAATTACTTTATAAACTTTGTATAATGAGAAAACAGTGGCAAAATTATTTATACTAACATTAAAAAAGAAACCAAAAGAAACTTTATCAAACTCCTTCCTTTACAGAATTAGTAATTCACAAGTATCATGAAGCATGATCTTACTCATGGAAAAAAAAAAAGCGGGAGCAAAGTGTTTGGAGCTCTTTGAAAGTTCTGGGCATTAGTACCTTTCCTAAAAGAACCAATGACATGTCTCTTAAATAAATGAAATGACAGTGCTTATGAGTATTACTAACTAGTAGAATTCAACTCAATTAGTGTCAGTAAAGCTGTTTATAAAAATAAATGGATGGGGCTTCCCTGGTGGTGCAGTGGTTGAGAGTCCGCCTGCTGAGGCAGGGGACAGAGGTTCGTGCCCTGGTCCAGGAAGATCCCACATGCCGCAGAGCGGCTGGGCCCATAAGCCATGGCCGCTGAGCCTGCGCGTCCGGAGCCTGTGCTCCGCAACGGGAGAGGCCACAACAGTGAGAGGCCCGCGTACCGCAAAAAAAATAAAATAAAATAAATGGATGAAACATAGGGGCTTTAAGAATTTCTACCATGCGATTATGAGACCCATATCACTGCAACGGTTTAGGGGCTTTTATTTTATTTATTTATTTATATTCTTGGCTGCATTGGGTCTTCATTGCTGCGTGCGGGCTTTCTCTAGTGGCAGCGAGCGGGAGCTACTCTTCGTTGCAGTGCGCAGGCTTCGCATTGTGGTGGCTTCTCTTGTTGTGGAGCACAGGCTCTCGGTGTGTGTGCTTCAGAAGTTGTGGCATGCGGGCTATAGAGCACAGGCTCAGTAGTTGTGGCGCATGGGCTTAGCTGCTCCGCGCATATGGGATCTTCCCCGTCCAGGGATCAAATCCATGTCCCCTGCATTGGCAGGCAGATTCTTAACCACTGTGCCACCAGGAAACGTCCCAGGAGCAATTATTTTAAAAGCTACAGATGTCTCGTGGAAGCTAGAATATAACATCCATGAAGGGTCAAAACATGTGAAATGATTCAACATTTCTCAAAATGTTAATACTAGTCCCACAGGCTGCTAAAATGAATGATTTCTTTAAAAAGGCTGTTTCTATTGAGTCCATTTAGGAAATGTTGAGTTAAACTGGGTTCTTCACAGCAGGACTTCTTAGAGGAGGCAACATGTTAAAGAGCATGCTGAATTTTAAGATGCAGCATTGTTATGTAATAATTCCAAAATTTATTTAACCTCAGATTCTACTTTTCAAGGGACAATTCATGAAATTAGTCTTCCTTAAAACATATTTTGGAAAATGCTGGAATAAATGAACATACTTTTTAATTTGCAGAGAATTATGGCTTGGGCTGAAAAGTATTATCTAGAGATGAACAGGACTGATCCAGGAAAACAGGTTAGAGACTACAATACAGGTAAATAAGGTAAACAACAGACTAGTTTTCCATGGAGAGCATTAAGAATAAGCAAAAATCAGAACTGTATGAAAAGGTTAAATAAGATTTTGAAAGCCCACCTATTTCTGCCCTCTAGCTTCAATAACCCTGCATTTCACTCAAGACAACCATAGCATAAGAGCTTATTTATTTTCCCACTAGACTGCAAACGCTTGAGAGTAAGAACAATAACTGTCTTGCTCCTGGCAATGACCTAGCACCTAAAAAGCATGCAACATATTGGCTGAATGAATACATAAATTTAAAAAAGGGAGGATATGTTGTTTCTTTTTTAAGTACAGTGAATTTTTTTATTTGGATAGAAAAAATAGGAAATAAAAAAATAAATATAAATGCACTCAAAGAACATTAGTAAGAACACTGATATTAAATATCAATCCCACACGTAGGCAATGTGAAATTACCACAGTTTCCTGAAAAGAATTTATGTCAACAACCAGGTTATTAGCTTGATGGATAAAATAAGCAGTTTTATGATGACTCTGATTGTTAGCAATATGGAGAATTACCTATAAGAAAATCATAAAACGTACCTAGGTTATGATTATAATTATGAAAATATATGTATGTCTGCATGCATACAGGTACAGTACAGAGAAATACTGAGAGAATACCTGTTCAGATACTGAGAGAATACCTGTTCAGATACTGAACAGGTAGTGATTTTCCCTTTTAAAACTCTTTCAATAAAATCATGATGTTTAACAATACATTTAAAAATCTACCATTTAAAAAATCTGTGTTCTAGTTTTTTATGTAAGAAGAAGTCAAAAACATGTGGCAGCAATGCTGATCATTACTGTGACAACTGTTTTAAAACTCATTGTTCACAATAATATTTTAATGGTCAAAAATTATATAGTCTTATGCCAGAAGCTCATAAGTATTGCAGAAACAGCTGTGCAGTGCACTCACGCCACCTGCTAGCACTCAAAGGCACTGCAAAATTGTAGTCTTTAACCTGGACTAGTATTCTTACATTTAAGTTGAGTGACATTTATTTGTCATTCTTTTTCCAAAATTCAAAAGAATCCTTAGGGCTTCCCTGGTGGCGCAGTGGTTGAGAGTCTGCCTGCCGATGCGGGGGACACGGGTTTGTGCCCCGGTCCGGGAAGATCCCACATGCCGCGGAGCGGCTAAGCCCGTGAGCCATGCCGCTGAGCCTGCGTGTCCGGAGCCTGTGCTCTGCAACAGGAGAGGCCACAACAGTGAGAGGCCGGCGTACCACAAAAGAAAAAAAAAAAAAAGAATCCTTAGACTTTACTTTTTTCAAGTTACTGTATTTTAAAGAGTCAACACTGTACTATTAACATTATCCCCAAAGCAACATTCACATTTCAAATCATAGTTATAGGTGTATCTTCAAATGTCTCATTTAAAAGAACTACATAAATTGAAAAATGTCTAAATATGTAAAACATTTTCTTCATTTACAAGAATATGCAGTTAATTAAAGAACTATGGTATTACACATAAGACAAGAATTGGGCTTGATGTCTAGATTTGCTACCTATCAGATAAGTGACCTTAAACAAATCATGTGATCTTCCTGTCTGTTTCCTCATTTATAAAACAGAAAGGATTCACAGAATTTTTGTCAGTAATAAATGAGATTAAATAGAAGAAAGCACTTTTTCTTTTCGTATTTTCTCATCTTTTTTAAAAATTTTCTTCTATTTTTAACATTTTCATTGGAGTATAATTGCTTTACAATAGCGTGTTAGTTTCTGCTTTATAACAAAGTGAATCAGCTATATATATACATACGTCCCCATATCCCCTCCCTCTTGCATCTCCCTCCCATGCTCCCTATTCCACCCCTCTTAAAATCCTATACAAATATGTTATTTTTAGTTCTGAACTACTTTTATGACTATCAAAAAAATATGATACCAACTTTCCTTCTCTGAATTTAAAATTTTGAGCATCTCTGAACATTATTTTATAATATTTGATTACCTTCACAGTACTGCATTAACTCATGCTGGACTACACATGGTTTAGTCTTACTGTTTTACCTACTTTTACCCTTGTACCACATGACACCAGTCTGGACACCACCCCTGAGCCTCAACCGTCAGCAGGTAGAGTGAAGAGTCCAGAAGGGCTGACAGGAGTCAGGCAGAAGGGATACAAGGGGTCGAGGAAGGTATGGCATGGTGGCATGAGACAAAAAGGAGACAAGCAGGGATGGCAGCATGATATAATAAGTGGTAACTGGTGGCATACTTTAAATAAAGTGTGAGAGTATAGTACTGAAGACAAAGGCCCACAAAAATTAAGACCAAAAACATGAATTAGAATCTAGGATTCCTAGGAATTCCCTGGTGGTTAGGACTCGGCGCTTTCACTGCCTTGGGCCTGGGTTCAATCCCTGGTCGGGAACTAAGATCCCGCAAGCTGCGCAGCACAGTCAAAGAAAAAGAAAAAAAAAAAATCTAGGTTTTCTAACTCTGAGTTCAGAGATTTTTTTTTTTTGTCATAAAACAGAGCTCAACTGTTGTTTGCTGTTGCTACCATTATTATTAAAAAGAGGTTAACATTTATTAGGTTCTTAAAAATGTATCAGGTATTATTATTTTATAATAGGGATACTCTATTAACCTGTGGAATGATATCAGCAAAGTAGAATTTTAAGTTCTTTTTCTGTTTTCCTTTTGTTGATCTATATTTTATGAAATGTATACAGTAAATCTGTATTATCTTTTGTGATTTTAAAATATTTTCAATGCCTCTAAATACATAAATATATTTCTATGATATTTAAACTGTCCTATGGAATTGAAAAAACACTGGAAAGCTTCATAAATTCATTTCATAAAGATGGTACAACCCTGATAGCAAAACCCAAAGAAAGAAAATTACAAATCAATTATGGCTATATTACTGAAAATATTTCTAAAGCTTAAAGTTTGTCTATTTGTTAGCATATAATGCAAAGATGGTTGCAGAGATTTTCAACATATTTTTGCAGCACACTTGGAATGTTCCAATTTAAAATACAGATTACATGGAATGGAGTATGAAAATGAACTTTTTGTACTGGAAGGCCCCTCAGAAAGGTGGGCAGTCATCCTCCAGGATAGGTGAATCAGAAGTACATTAGTCAGGGCTACCTGGAGAAATGGCTGATTCTGGGAATGGTACAAGGAATATATAAAATGAGCTAAGAGCATTCTGTGGTGCCAAAAAATAAGGAAGTGTTTAAAAAACAAATGATGGGGCATGACAAAGGAGCAGAGGGGCCAGCTGAAAGAGTGCCCAACTACCAAAGATGAAACAATCTGAGCAACAAGATAAAGTATTATTGGACCATAATCCAAAGGATAAAGTAAAAATCCATGAATCCACACTGATACAAGTAAGTGACTGAGTACATAAATGAATGAAGGAGAATAGACACACACTGCACATAGAAGAATTCCAAATAATCTATATTTCTCCCTCGAGGCGGTGGAGCATAACTTCCGTAAGTGTGGGCTGTGTACAGTGACTTCCTTCTAAAGAGTACACTATGGAAAGGAAGAAAACAAAGAGCAATTTTATAGTGGAGAAAACTGGCCAACACTATCTCAGCCAGGTGATCTAAGCTGCATCATCAGTGGTAAGTCATGTGAGGAGCCTATACCCTTGCTATGATGTGACGAGAACGGCACTTAACTTCTGAGGTTTTCCTCCCCAAAACACCTAACAATCAAACCATGAGAAAAACATCAAACAAATCGAAACTGAAGGACATTCCGCAAAATACGTAACTGGTACTTCTCGAAACTGTCAAAGTCATCGGAAACAAGGAAATTGTGAGAAACAATCACAGCCAAGAAGAGCCTAAAGAGACACGATGACTAAATGTAATGGGGTACCCTGGATGGGATTCTGAACAAAAAAAGGACATTAGGTAAAAACTAAGGAAATCTGAATAAAGTATGAACTTTAATTAATAATGAATCAATTTTGATTCATTCATTAGTTATAACAAATGTACCACAGTACCATAAGATGTTAACAACAGGAGAAATTTGGTGTGAATACGGCAAACTCTGTACTATCCTTGAAGCTTCTCTGTAAATCTAAAACTATTTTAAAAGTAAAAGTTTAATTTAAAAAAAGGTTCATCGGGTAAAACTGCACATAACTGCTGTGTGAAAAAAGACATGTGATATGCATCAAGACTCCGTTAACAAAGGTGTCTAATACTGACTTAGGAGTTAGTTACTAGGGCACATGTGCAATGGCATGTGGCATGTTCCTGGTAAGTGAGAGGAGGGATTTGATATTTCTCCAAAGCAACATGAGATTAGGACAAATAATCCTAAATAAAACATTACCACAGCAAATCAGTCAGTGGTAAAGTGAAAGAATAATGTACCATAAACTGATCAGGGCTCAGAAATGGTTCAGTAATTGAAAATTAATTAATAGAATTCATTACTTTAAAAATTCAAAGGAGATCATTTCAAAAATGCTAGTAAACTACGAACAGTATACATCGTTAACACAGTAGGGATTATTATCTCTAAACTGAAATCTAATCTCAGAGGCTAAATACTAGAGGCATACCCATTAAAGTAGAGAACAGCACAAGGAACTACATAAACATTTTAGAAACTCTGTCTAACGCAAAAGACAAAAAGAAAAAACAAGCTATAGGTATTTTAAAAGGAGAACTAAAACTACTATTAATTATCATTTATTTCTTGAGAAATCACCCCAAGAATCAACCGAAAAGTCCTAGCATCCCAATTTTGGTCTCCAAACATCAATGTTCACTAAAAGGTATCAGAGCTCCTAGAGAAATAGCTAATTCCAGGTCTGGGATAAGGAATACTCTATATAGTAAGCCTGGTCCATCTTGTGCCAGAAGGCAAGGAAATTTTCCAAAGCTAATGGGCTTGTAATAAAAGGACATAGGAATCAGTTTAGAAGAGATCCTACTGGCCAAAGTTAGGACATACTTTGAACATCAAAAAGAATATGACTTTACTTGATCAAAATTTGCTGAATATACCCATCTACACATTACCTGTTCAAGGGAAAAGCAAAAAATGACAACCCATAACCTCACAATGGAAAGACTGGGTTGTCAGCCTCTTAACCAAGTGATCAATCTCAGCATACTAAGAATGAGGCAACCAGACTTTATGCGCCCTCTCATGTAATGCAATATAAAATACATAGCAACATCTATCAAGTATTCTTGTCAAAACAGTTTACTGTAATCTAATCAGTCCCTTAAATCTAACTTCCACTTTATAGGAAACACAGGAGATAGAGACATAAGGTAAATGACACCACGATGCATAGAGACGAATTCAGAAGGTAGGAAGCGCTGCAAGGATAAAATTTCTGTCTCTTTACCATGTCTGTGTCATGATGGGGGTTGCAGCTTGGGGGAGCGGGAAGAGGAGGGGTGAGGTCCTTTGCTGTTCTAGATTTCAAAAGATCTAAGTGACATTTTAAGCAAATGTAACAGTGCTTGACTGGATCCTGGTTTAAACAAAAAAGCTATTTAAACATTTTGGTGAGACAACTGGGGAAATCTGAGCGTGGAGTACACATCTTAGATGGTATTAAAAAATTACTGAAAATTTTATTAGCTGTATTAATTATATTGGGATTATGTAGGAAATTTTCATTAATTTTTAGAGATAACACACTGACATATTTTAGTATGAAAAGTCAGATATTAGTAATTTTAAAGTAAACACTTAAACCAAAAACACACATATAAATACACAGGAGTGTGTATCTGTATAAGTGTATCAAGCACTCAATATTTTAAATTCATCAAAATATTAATTATTATTGATACAACCATGTGCCATGTGTATGGGTGTTTATTATACTACTCTCTATATACATTTGGAATTTTTGATAAGAAAGGTTAAAAAACAGAATTTGGTAAAGTAGCCAAGTAAAAAATTAAAAAATAACTATACCATTTTTGACAAGGGTGTCAAAACAATTCAATGGGGGGAAAATAGTCTTTTCAACAAATAGTGCTGAGACAGATGAATATCCACATGCAAAATAAAGTTGGTTCCCTACCTTACACCATATAAAAATTAACTGAAAATGAATCACAGACCTAAATGTAAGAGACAAAACTCTCAGAAGAAAACATAGGAATAAATCTTCATGACCTCGAATTAGACAATGTTTTCTTACATATGGCACCAAAAGCACAACAAAGGAAAAAAATGCATAAATCGGACTTCACCAAAATTAAATTTTTTGTGCTTAAAAAAACACCATCAAGAAAGTGAGATGACAATGCATGGAATGGGACAAAATATTTGCAAGTCATATATCTGATAAGCAACTGGTATGAAGAATAAATAAAAAACACAACTGAAAAACAAAAAGTCAAATTACTCAAAAGATGGGCAAAGAATTTAAAGACATTTCCCCAAAGAAGATATACAAATGGTCAATAAGCACATGAAAAATTGCTCAACATCATCAGTCATTAGGGAAATGTAAACCAAAACCACAAAGAGATACTTCACACCCATTACAATGGTGAAAACTATAAAGACCAACAACAATCATTAGGGAGGATGTGGAGAAATTGAAACCCTCAAACACTGCTTATGAAATAGTGCAGTCACTTTGTAAAACAGCTTGGTAGTTCCTCAAAATGTTACACATGGAGTTACCATACAACCCAACAATTCTACTTCTAGGTATATAGCCAACAGAACTAAAAACCTATGTCCACACAAAAACCCGTACACAAAGGTTCACAGCAGCATTATTCATAACAACCAAAAAGTGGAAACAACTCAGATGTCTACTGACTGATTAAGTGGATAAATAAAACATGGCATATCCATAAAATCAAACATTATCTGGCAATTAAAAAAATGAAGAACTGATACATGCTATAACAGATGAAACTCTGAAAGCATTATACTAAGCCAAAGTATACATACTGTATGATCCATTTATAGGAAATATCAATAGGCAAAGTAGATTAGTTGTTGACAGGAGCTTGGGGGTAGTGAAGAGCAGGGTAGAATGGGGATTGACTGATAATGGGTATGGGATCTCTTTTTACGGTGATGAAAATTTCTGGAATCAGGCAGTGGTGGTGGTTGCACAACTCTGATATACTAAAAACTACTGAGTTGTAAACTTTAAAAGGATGAATTCTACAGTATGTGAATTATATCTCAATAAAGCTGTTATTAAAAAGGAAAAACAAGTATATAAGAAATCAGTATACCATCAAAATGGGCAAAGGAGGGAAAAAAAGCACTTTACAAAGGAATACATTCTCACCTTCATTTGAATTCAAAGGCATACATATTTTAAATATAAGATATATTTTACCTATTAAGCTGATAGGTAATAATAATATCTAGGCTGGTGAGAGTACAGGAAAACACGCTTTCTCACAATCTGCTGGTGGTGTATTTGTTACATTGCCTGCAGGAATTCTGTGATATATAATCAAAAACCTTTCACAATATATATCAAAAATCTTCAAAAGATCTATATCCTTTGACCTAACTTCTCATTTTAGTAAGCTATCCTAGGAACATAATCAGGAATATATACAAATATTAATCTCAAGAATATTATATTTTTCTAATAAAGAAAACTGTTAGAAAGCCTAAATGTCCCATGATATGGGTAATTTAAATAAATTATGGTAGATCTATGCTATAGAATTACTTGTCTCTCCCACTTCAGTCTCAGAGAAGGACTATGTCTGAATTGATCAGTGTTGCACCCCTAGCCTCAAACATTGTCCTGGCACATTAACAGACCCTCATTTACACAGTCTTCATTAAATAGTGTTTAATAACACTATTAACATTAAACAGTGTTTAGTAACATTGAAAAATTTAAATTCACATTGTTAAACAAAATTTGAGCAACTAATCAAATACAGTATCATCCCATTAATATGCACAAAGGCTGACTGTATATATACTAAAATGAGCTCCTGTAGTCAACAGTGGTTATTTGAGTGGTGGAATTACAGGCAATTTTATTTATTTATTTATTTATTTATTTATTAGATGTTGGGGGTAGGAGTTAATTAATTAATTAATTAATTTTTGGCTGTGTTGGGTCTTCGTTTCTGTGTGAGGGCTTTCTCTAGTTGTGGCAAGCGGGGGCTACTCTTCATTGCGGTGCACGGGCCTCTCACTATCATGGCCTCTCTTGTTGCGGAGCACAGGCTCCAGACGCGCAGGCTCAGTAGTTGTGGCTCACGGGCCTAGTTGCTCCGCGGCATGTGGGATCCTCCCAGACCAGGGCTCGAACCCGTGTCCCCTGCATTAGCAGGCAGATTCTCAATGACTGCGCCACCAGGGAAGCCCCAATTTTATTTTATACTTAAAAAAACTTATATTCTCCAAATTTCTAAGATAAATGTGTCAGTTTTATAATCACGCATACAAAATACTATTATAAAATAATATGTTCCAATAATTCTTATTTTTAAAAAATTAACTCTTACCCTTAATGTCACTACCCGTGCTTTGGGGTTTCGAATAGATGGTCCCGCTGATACATAACCAGTTGTGTCAATTTCAATTGGAAAATGCTTCCTGCATTTCTCATCACTGTCTAATGCAGCTGGCCACTCGGTGCAAAAATCTGAGAAATAAAAAAAGTTATCTCATTTATAGTTTTGTAAGTAAATTCTCCTTATAATGTATGCTAACCGACAAAATCAAATTATTGAGGGAGATCACCTTTCAAGATACATGAAATGAAACATGAAATGAAAGAACAGATTCTCTTCTGCACTTATATATACATCATCATTCGGCATGCGTCCCTTTTCTTCCTAAGTGAATCCTATTTAGGGAATTAAGGGAATGATTTGGATAGTTCAGGTTTGGTGGGGAGCAGTTAAAAGGGAGCTATAGACTTGATGGAAGTTTATTATATCTTTGCACATATCTGTTATGAGACAGTTTATTTCCTCGCCAACTAAAAGCAAGCAGTTCATAGTGCCCTGAGAATTACTGTTTTTGAAAAGGCAACAGATAATATTAATTCACACCCAAATGAAGGTTACTAAAAATCAGTTGAAGGGAAGTGAAAGAACCTCTGAAAAAACTCTAAGAGGGAATTGCCTGGAGATCCAGTGGTTAGGACTCGGCGTTTTCCCTGCTGTGGCCTGGGTTCAATCGCTGGTCAGGGAACTAAGATCCAGCAACCCTCGCAGCACAGCCAAAAACAAAAAAAAAGCTCTACTGAGATGTGGTCAACCTTCTTTCAGAAACTGAGTTCAACAGGGCCTCTAACTGTAACAGGTACAAAAGCCTCGATCACCTTTAAATGCTCCTTCCAGTAATTCATGTTTCTTAGATGTGACTTCTGAGCCACTGGGGCTCAGTGGAAAAAGGAACAGACTTGTCGTCACCTTCAGGCAAGACAGATAGCCTAGAGAGGAGTGGGTCTGGGTCTGAGACCTGGGCTACAACCGAAGTTCCAAGCACTGAGAACACTGCTCACAGCACAGAGGTGTAAACTCAGGCCTCAAATGAAAAAAAAAAATCTTTAAAGGAAAAGAGAGAGAACTCCCAGCCTCCCGCAGCTATCAGTACTACTAGTATTGAGGTGGGCAGCTGATTTTATTTTGCCCTATTCCTATCAACTTAGTGTGGTACAGGGCTCTCAGCTTGGGATGCAAACTTCTGGCATTATCAGGTTCCCCTCAATAGAAACCTCATTTCCTAAATAGCCTCATTCTAAGAAAAAGTAATTGGTTTCTTAGGTCAAACACATTAGACCCCATGGATCCATGCTTTCTCCAATAACATTTTCCCTCAGCTAACAACTTTCTTATAATAAGCACTATATTTAGCTCCCATTTAGGCTTTAATATCAGTCAGCAAAATGTCACTCTGGATTACAGAGACTTTCCAAGATCTGGGACTAAATATATGTTAGCAAATGAAGTATAGCTCACACTATTCCCTAAAAACTGTGTTTAAGAGATCAATACTCACACACTTTGAGGGGAAAGAAATATCTTTGCCATTAAGAATATTCTGACATTTAAATAAAATGAACAGAGCAAAATTACTGAGGTTAAATTTTATTCCCATTATGAACTAATTCCAGTTTCCTGTACTATAAGATGCAACACTGCCAGGCACTTTATAAGACAGACTAGTTTGGGGAATTTTATGAGTTACTGGATTTGTACCGACTCTTTTTTTTTTTTAAACTTTGGGTAAGTCATTTCAATCACCAGATGATAATTACAGCTTTTAAATTAAATTACCTGATTATATGTTCAAGAAAACACAGCCAACTGAAAAGTACATAATAGACCCCTATTAGCCTTTTATTCATCTGATAGGTAGAGCAACAGACTAGACTTTAGAAGACCTTGGTTTTTACTTAACTTCTGCCACGATTATTAAAGTTTTGGTAAATTACCTAACTCTCCTGTGCTTCAAATTTTCCATTTGCAAGTCAGATACAAAATCTGAACTGACCTACTTGAAAGAAAACTCAGAAGAAATATCTGAAAAGCCTTTGAGTTATTTGGAAGATACAATCTAAACCTAGAAGCTGGCAAAAGTGTAAAGGCAAAATGAAGGAAAGATTAAAACATTCACTTAAATACTGTAAAATATAATGCTGCTCTTCTAAATATGCTGTATGAAAGCCTTTCATTTGAAAATTATTAAGTAGTTTAGAACTACCTCATTACAATGACCAGTTTCTAAATTATAAATGCACACTTAAAAATATTGTTTAAAAAGGAAAAATACTGAATTTATCACAGGGTAATGCATTTGTTAACTGGCTTTACAAAGGATCAGAAAATGATATATGATTTGTGTCATATGGGGCACATATGTGCAACGGTGATCTGTGTCAGTCTAATATCAACAAATATAGAAACATACAAAGGGACAGAAATGCATCATAATGTCCCAAAACAAAAGACCACATAAATGAATGAAAATAGTAAGAGATTTTTCTTCCCTCATTGCAAGAGTAAGGTTATTATTCCTACTTTTTAGCCCTCTTTTTAAAACCTCTTTATTTTCCTTTTCCCTATAATTTTCAATGGAAGGCCCTCCCAGAAGCTCAAATTTCATCATAATCATGTTCACTAACTTATTTCTCCTTTTAGCATAATCAGGCTACCTGTGAAGTTTCTAGGTTTCATTTTCTTTCCTGAAAAGACTTAACAAGTATACTGAGCATGTATATATATCACCTTTAAACCAGCATAAATTTAAGACTTCAAAGATACTAACTCTTGCATTAAACTACATAATCAATAAGTAATAGCTACAAACCTAAAACAACTCAAATTTGCTTACCTATATATAGTCCAATACAACTAGAACAGAAATTGAATTGGAATATTATATATATTATGAACCATGAACAAAAAGTGCTCTTTGCCTTTACCTCCATTTATGTGGGAAGAAGAAAGATGGTAGTACAGGTAAGTAAAATCTCCATTTACAACTAGCAATCAACAGATACTGTTGAAATTTAACAAGTCTAGAAATGGAGGTATAATCATATTCAGGTGATTAGTTCCATTTTATATATATCGTCTATACATATAATTTACATTTATATATACTATGTATAGAGTATATATAATATATATTCTTTATGTGTTTAAAGAATATATAAAATTATACGCACACGCACATACACACACACACACACACACACACACACATAAATAATAAGACCTAAATAATGACTAAAAGAGAACACATCTGGAATGAGGGGCCAGGGAGGGAAGGGAGAAGCAAGAGACTATTACTTTTCATCATCAGCTCTTGTACTATTTAATTTTACCACAGGTATACATCACTTCTAATTCCTTTAAAATTTTGAACAATTTCTTCAAGATAACCCTTTTCTGCAAAGTATCCCATTACTGGCCCCACTGACTATTCAGCTACTTAGCATCCTTCTACACTATCTTCAGTTTGCACCATATTGATTTGCATCTGTTGTTAACACCCTACAATATTTTCTTCAGCCTTTTTATGTATATGCTTTCTATAATTCAACAATAAGTCCCTAACCTACCTGGGCAAGGATTATGGTTTCTGATCCCCAGAACTTATTCAGCAGATAACTGCAAGTTTGTACTCTTTGAACATCTCCCTTTTTCCTCCACTCCTCAGTCCCTGGTAACCACCATCCTACCCTGTTTGTATGACTTCAGATTTTTCAGATTTCAAATACGTGATAATTATATAGTATTTGTCATGCTGTCTGACATATTCCACTTAGCATAATGCCCTCAAGGTCCCTCCACATTGTCACAAATGGCAGGATGTCCTTCTTTCTCGTGACTGAATAATATTCCACTGTTCGTGCGTGCATGTGTGTATACACCACATCTTCTTTATCCATTCATCCATCCACCGATGAACACTTAGGTTGTTTCCATATCTTACACGGGCCTCTCACTGTTGTGGCCTCTCCCGTTGCGGAGCACAGGCTCCGTGGCCATGGCTCACGGGCCCAGCCGCTCCACGGCACGTGGGATCTTCCCGGACCAGGGCACGAACCCGTGTCCCCTGCATCGGTAGGCGGACTCTCAGCCACTGCGCCACCAGGGAAGCCCTGTTTCCATATCTTGACTGTTGTGAATAATGCTGGAGTGAACATGAGAGTTGAGAGATCTCTTCAATATTGTCTTCATTTCCTTTGGATACATACCAAGAAGTGGGATTGTTGGATCATACAGCAGCTCTATTTTTAATTTTTTGAGGACCCTTCATACTGTTCTCCACAGCGGCTGCACCAATTTGCATTCCTACCAACAGTGGACGAGGGTTCCCTTTTCTCCACATCCCCATCAACACTTGTTATCTCATCTTCCTGACGAGTCATTTTAACAGGTACTCAGGTTTTGATTTTTTTTTTTTTTTGATTTTGATTTCCCTGATGATTAGTGAAGTTGAGAATCTTTTCATGGACTCACCGGCCATTTGTATGTCTTCTTTGGAAAAATGTCTATTTGATTCTTCTGCCCATTTTAAAATCAGATTGTTTTTTTTACTATTGAGTTATATGAGTTCTTTATGTATTTTGGATATTAACCCTTATCAGATATATGATTTGCAAATATTTTCTGCCATTCCACAGATTGCCTTTTCATTTCACTGATGGTTTCCTTTGCTGTACAGAAGGTTTTTAGTTTGAGGTAGTCCTACTTGCTACCTATTTTTGCTTTTGTTGCCTTTGCTTTAGGTGTCAAATTCCAAAAAATCATTGCCGAGACGAATGTCAAGGAGCTTACACCCAATGTTTTCCTCTAGGAGTTTTATAGTTTCAGGTCTTATGTTCAAGTTTTTAATTCATGTCAAGTTGATTTGTGTGTATAGTGTTAAAAATGTGGTCCAGTTTCATTCTTCTACATGTGTCTGTCCAGTTTTCCCAACATTTACTGAAGAAACTATCCTTTCCTGCTTAAATATTTTTGGCTCTTTTGTTATAAATTAACCAAATATACATGAGTTTATTTTGGAGCTCTCTGTTCTGTTCCATTGATCTATGCGTCTGTTTTCATGACAATAACATACTGTTTTGATTACTACTACCGCTTTGTAATAGTTTGAAATCAGGATGTGTGATGCCTCCAGCTTTGTTCTTCTTTCTCAATATTGTTTTGGCTATTTGAGGTCTTTTGTGGTTCTGTACAAATTTAAGGAGTTTGTTCCATTTCTGTGAAAAACACCACTGGAATTTTGACAGGGATTACACGGAATCTGTAGATTGCTTTGGGTTTTATGGACATTTTAACAATATTAATTCTTCCAATCCATATCTTATACTTACTTGTGTCTTCTTCAATTCCTTTCACCAATATTTTACAGTTTTCAATGTATAGATCTTTCACCCCTTGGTTAAAAGTATTCTCTTATTTTATTTTGCTTTCATGTATTTTGTTTTTATTTTATTTCTTCCAGTTTTAATGAGATATAATCGGCATGCAGCACTGTATAAGTTTAAGGTCTACAGCATAGTGATCTGACTTGCATACATCATGAAATGATCATCACAAGAAAGTCAGTGAATATCCAACATCTCATACAAATACAAAATTAAATAAATAGAAAAAAAATTTTTTTCCTTGTTATAAGTACTCTTAGTATTTATTCTCTTAACAACTTTCATACAGAACATATAGCAGTGTTAATTATATTTATTATGTTGTACCTTATATCCCTAGTATTTAGTTACCTTATAACTGGAAGTCTGTACTTTTTGACTGCCTTCATCCAATTCCCCCTCCCCTGACCCAGTATTTTATTCTTTTTGATGCTATGGTAAATAAAAGTATTTTCTTAATTTCTCTTTTAAGAAAAAGAGGAATTTAATTTACAAATTTAAAAATTACATTAAAAGTTAAAATTAAATTACATTTAAATTTTAAAAATTAAATTTTAAATTAAATTAAATTACAAATTTTAAAAATCTCTTTCTGAACTCCCATGTTCACCACAGAAAATGCAACTGATTTTTGATACCGACTTTGTATCCTGCAACTTTACTGAATTCGTTTATTAATTTTAATAGTTTTTTTGGGGCCTTTCAGATTTTCTATATATAAGATAATGTCCTCAGCAAGTAAAGACAATTTTACTTCTTCCCTTCCAACATGAATGCCTTTTATTTCTTTTTCTTGCCTAACTGCTCTGGCTAGAACTTCCAGTACTATGTTGAATAAAAGTGGTGACAGTGGGCATCCCTGTCCTGTCCTGATCTTAGAGGAAAAGCCTTTAGCTTTTCATGGTTGTAATATGATATTAGTTGTGGACTTGTTATATGTGGCCTTTATTATGTTGAAGTTTGTCCCCTCTATACCCACTGTGTTGAGAGTTTTCTCATGAAAGGATGCTAAATTCTATCAAATGCTTTTTCTGCATCTACTGAGATGATCATATGATTTTCATCCTTCATTTTGTTAGCGTGGTGTATCACGTTGATTTACTTGCAGTTGTAGAACCACCTTGCATCCCTGGAATAAATCCTTCTTGATCATGGTATATGATCCTTTTAATGTACTGTTGAATTTGGTTTGCTAGTATTTTGCTGAGGATTTTTGATCTATGCTCATCAGGGATATTGGCCTGTAACTTATCCTTATCTGGCTTTGGTATCAGGGTAATGCTAGATTTATAAAATGAGTGTGGATGTTCCCTCCTCTTCTACTGTTTAAAAGAGTTTGAGAACGACTGGTAATTCTTTATATGTTTCATAGAATTCACCAGTGAATTAGGAGTTTGGGATTAATATATACACACGAATATATATAAAATAGATAACCACCAAGGACCTACTGTATAGCACAGGGTCCTATACTCAATATTTTGTAATAACCTATAAGGGAAAAGAATCTGAAAAAGAATATGTATATATTCTTAAATATAATAAATGTATAAATGTATAACTGAATCACTTTGCTATACACCTGAAACTAACAAAACACTGTAAATCAACTATGATCCAATTAAAAAAAAAAAAACAAGATTTCACCAGTGAAGCCATCTGGTCCTGGACTTTTCTTGGTGGGTGGTTTCTGATCAGTGATTCAATCTCTTTACTAGTAACTGGTCTGTTCAGATTTTCTATTTCTTCATGATTCAGTCTTGGTATATTATATGTTTCTAGGAATGCATCCATTTCTTCTAGGTTGCCCAATTTGTTAGCATAAAAATGTTCACAGTAGTCTCTTAGATCCTTTGTACCAATATTTCTGTGATACCAGTTGTAATGTCTCCTATTTCATTTATAATTTTGAGGCCTCTCTTTTTCTTGGTGAGTCTAGTTAAAGGTTTGTCTACGTTGTTTATCTTTTCAAAAAACAAGCTCTCAGTTTCACTGATCTTTTCTATTGTCCGTTTAGTCTCAATTTACTTCCACTCCAACCATTATTCCCTTCCTTCTACTAACTTTGGGCTAAGTTTGTTCTTCTTTTTCTAGTTCCTTGGGATCTAAAGTTAGGTGGTTTATTTAACATTTTTCTTTATTCTTAATGTAGGCATTTATTGCTATAAACTTCCCTCTTGGAACTGCTTTGGGGATATCCCATATCTCAAGATATTTTTTTGATTTCTCTTTGATTGCTTCTTTGAATCAATATGCGTTTAGGGGCATGCTACTTAATCTCCACATATCTGTTAATCTTCTAGTTTTCTTCTTGTAATAGATTTCTAGTTTCATATCATTGTGGTTGGAAAAAATGCTTGATATGATTTCAATCTTCTTAAGTTTATTAAGACTTATTTTGTAGACTAACATATAATCTATCCTGAAAAATGTTTCATGTGTACTTGAGAAGAATGTGTATACTACTGCTGTTGGATGGAATGTTCTGTAAATGTCTACTAAATTCACTTGATCTAACATGTAAGTTTAAATCCAATGTTTCCTTACTGACTTTCTGTCTGGATGATCTACCCATTGTTGAAAGTGGAGTACTGAAGCTCCCTACTATTACTGTATTGCTCTCTATTTCTTCCTTCAATTCTGTAACTATTTTCTGTATATTAAGTGCTCCTACTTTGGGTACACAAATATTTACAAATATTATATCCTCCTGATAAACTGACCCCTTTATCATTAGAAATGAAATTCCTATGAAACTAATAAAATATTAAGTTCATATTACAAAACAACCACATACCTTTAAGAGCTTCACAGTGCTTTTTAATTGCTACAGGAGTCAAATGCAGAAAATTGGGAATCTAAAATAGAGAATTTTAAAGGATAAATTAGCTAAGTGTCTTTGTGTGTGTGTGTGTGTGTGTGTGTGTGTGTGTGTGTGTTTGGGGGGCCATGCCACGCGGCTTGCAGAATCTTAGTTCCCCAACCAGGGATTGAACCTGGGCTCCAGCAGTGAAAGTGCCGAGTCCTAACCACTGGACAGCCAATTCCTGCCTAAGTGCCTTAAAAACATGAAACAGACAATTTTCTCATAAAACTAAATCATAAGGCCCACAAACCTTGTAATAAATAAAATTTGGTTTTCTTTTAAACAATACTGATTCCATGTCACAGGTGTTGTAAATTCAAGAAATGAATTTCCTAAAATAAAGATTCAGTACCAAGTATCTTATGAGAATGATGATGGAGAAGAAACATTATTTTTATAGTATTATTCTTGCCACAAATCTACAGGAGTATATACTTCCCTTATAAAAATGAAAGCACTTTAGGACACAGACCATTGTTTAATAATCCTAATTCCCCTGGAATACATATCACTGAGATACATTTTCTACTTTATACTTAATAGACATTTTATGAATTGAATGGATGAATAAATGAAGCGAGCAGATCTTAAATGAACAGTTTAATGAAGTTGGGAATATCTTTATGATACACTGAGAGGTTCTCTAAACATTTATAGAGCCAATGGAAATTTAGGTAAGGTCAGAGATTTGATTCCTTCAAATAATTAACATTTCCTAGTATATTTCTTAAATAATGTTAAGCATCTAAAGAGAAAATTTAGTTTAAAGAAACTCACTTGGAAAGAAACTTCGAACAAACAGAAAGTTACTCTAAACATTATGTCTGGAATCTTAAGTGCTAATCAGAAAATGATTATTTTAATCAAGAGAAAACAGGCAACAAATACTGGGATTATGAGGTGGGTGACTTCATTTTCTATACTTTTATTTTACTTGTTTTTTTATTCTATACTTTTATTTTTGAAACATGATTCAAAATCATAAAAGAAAAGAAATAATAGCTAATGCTTACACGGCATTTATACTGGCACTGTTCTATGAATACCGTACATATTACCTCAGTTTACAAGCTTATTCAATGGCACTTACTAGGAACAGATCGTATCGTCGGACTAAGCATTAAGGTGATTCTTAAAAGGGATGGCATGCATTAAATGTTTGGATTTTTATGTTTATTAAAACTCCATTTACAACCATCATTACAAATATATTGCTATTCTCTTTCACCAAGTGATATTTTCCACAGACCTTTTCTTTAAACTAAGTTCAATTCTTCTCTTCATTTGAAGAAAAGATTAGTTTTATAGGGGTTTGTTTTCTTGTCTCTTGAAATGTTCCCATTTCCAAATTTCATCTGCCTATCTCCAGCAGCAAACAAACCCCTCTTCGTATTACGATCTCATTTTTTACCAGCAAACTTTTAGCAAAGTTTTGTTTTTCATGAAGACTCTCATTTAGCAGAAAATACAATTCCTTGATGATAATTTCATTGTATGTAAAAGGAAACCATCTAAGATATGCATTCCCAGGCTACACATATTTGTATTTTCTTTAAGTAGTCTGTTTTTCAGAAATCATTATAGATGCTATCAACTCATTACAGATGCTATCAACTGAAGCATTTAACATGACCTATTTTTCTTGAAGAAACAACAGAGTTTAAGGACTATAACAATACTACTGAATAATTTTCTGTAGAAGTTTTAGATCTCTTTTTCAAAAGTAAAAACTTCTCCCAGTTCTCAAACTCAAATTAGGTTATTTCACTTTTCTTAGTTCTGCTTAAAAGACACAATATAGAAAAGATACAATAGAAACGAAAAAGCCAAAAGGAAGCCATAGGACCAATCAATTACATTCTTAAATGCCTAGGGTTCTTTGAGCCTTCTTTGCCGAGGATAACCAAAACATAATATCCATTATTATCTGGAAAAAGATTGAATTAAAATACAGTAAGCTGCTATGCACTGAACCTTGAAGTGTTGGGGGAGAGGGTAGGCGTCAGAGGGAGATCAGCATTTATTTAGATATAAGTTTTAGTCAATGAACCAGCAACTTATCTTACCTTTAAAAGTTCCAGATTTCCCTCCTTAGCCATGGGCACCCCTCTTTTTACTGGATAACCCATTCGAACAGGAAGAGGTACTACTGAGGGTTTAAATGGCGCTGCAACAGGGTAAACACTAGGCCAGTCCTGGTCAACAGCCATTTTCTCTGTCCTAGGAGGTAGTGCCTGAGGAATGTAAAATAGTTTAATATTTTAAATATAAACATATTCTTTAATTTTAAAGCAAAAAAGCTGCAATTAAGAGAAACATAAGAGGACTTACAACCTACATAAAATCTGACCTCCCACAGCTAATGTTGCTGAAATGAAAAAACACTAAACGTACCTAAATATCTCTGGCACAGTTTCCTTAAACCCAGTAGCAAGGATCCCCTTTAACAGCACATTTCCTTCGCAAGAAAATTTCTCTATCTTATTTATTTACTTAGACTTTTAGCAAACTTTCTACATATTGTTTATGAAGGGGTAAGTAATGATATATTTTGAATAAGTTTTAAAACTTTGATGAAAGTCAGTACACGAGGTGACAGTGATACAAACTTGGAAATAAAGGAAATAAGAAAAAGGAACATAAAGAATAAGAACTCAGAAATAAATAAATTAGGATTAAACTAAATGAATAGATACATAATGAGAAATAATATGTTTCCTAGGCCCAGAGAATAACTACATGATATTTTAGTCAATCACATTAACATATTTATTTTTTAAACTGTATTTGATAGACAGAGATGCCCAGCATTCCCTGTAAACCCAAAACGAAGGTTTGAAGAGGCAAAACCAGGCAACACCCATCTAAGTAATATACATGTAGTATATGTCCTGGAAGCAGTTAACATTCCTGTGAAAATGACTACTCTATACGATTATAATTGGTGCCATTTAACTTCCAACTAATGTGCCTTTGTTCTGACTCCATGCTTCCTAAGTGACCGTATAATTTGGATTCCTCCATAGAGATACCTACAGGGTGAGACCAAACTGGTTAGATTAATGCATACATCCCAGGCTGCATGACTGTTCAAGGCATCATCAAAAATAATTCTTTATTCTGGTTTATATACCTATTTCGTGGGAGTATGTGAGTGAGTCCACCTCTCAAAGATGATCCATTCTCAGGGAACTGACAAAAAGCAGTGGAAGACTAGAGCCAGGGCTGTGGTAGTCACCAAGTCAACAGCCCCTTGAGAAGAAGCCTTCTCGTGCAGCGCCCTTCTGCCTCATAATGAGTATCTGCCTCACTTCAGAATTTCAGAAACCAGTAAGACAGTCTATACTAGAGTACATTAGCTGCTTACCTTTCTTCTTAGTGGCCTTCCATATTTGGATGTCCTTTCTGTTGTAGCTAAAAGACAACACAACAGTTACAGAGAATTTTATAACACACAGCCGTTCAACATTGTTCATGATCCCACAATTCTCACATAATTTAAAGTATTCAGTAATATAAAAGTGAAACAATAATCCATTTTCTGTTCAGGGACTAAATCATTTTAATGAAAATGAAAATTCAGAAATAGGTAAGAAAATCCAAGAGTTACTTGAATATAAAATATACTATGATTGACGATATGGTGAACTCATCAACTAGAGCAATATTTTCAGTAACTTTTAAGGTTCATCATCAAATAAGCTTACTTTCCCAAGATAAAATATCTAATTAGAAATAAGTATTTTGCATCTTTAAAAGTAACTGGCTTGAAATATTCTAATATATACTTGCTCATAATTGGAATTACTCTGTTCTTTACACACACACAGACACAAAACAACCTTCAGTTTTCCTTCTCTACTGTTTATTAGCACTGCCAATGCTACAATAATGCCAATAATAACAAAACTCATAGTTATTCCTAATAAATCACATAACTGTACAAGAAGGTAAATTACTTACATACAGTATCTACCTTTTAAAATATTAACTTATGTCTCTCTAAATTAATGTTTTGCTATACTAAAATAATATATAATAACTGTAATTATTCAGCACTTTCACATGTCCAGACACTGTGCTAAATGCTTTTTATTATCTCATTTAATCTTATTCTTCACAATAACTGTAAGTACTATTATTATCCTTATTTAGAGGTCTTTTAGCCAAGAAAACTAAAGACCAAGTAGTTAGGGTGATGACAGCATAGCACAAAAGACCTCACATTCTGAACCACTAACTCAAGCTTCACAAGCCCCCTAACTACACCGAACTTCCAGGACCAGGTCCCTGAGCTTTTCTCTGAACTTTCTGTTCTGTCTACAATGTGCCTCCCTGTCACCCACCTGCCTTCTGTCCCCTACTCCCTCTCCACTTCATCTCTTCATCTGACAAATTCTTATTCATCCCTCAACAGTAATTCATTGATTTATTCAAAAATTGTTTGAGTGATATTGTGTACCGGCAACTCGGAAGGCAGCAATGAACAACAGAAACACAGTCCTTGCTCTCACTGAATGCAGGGTCTGTCAAATAAGATCACTATTTAGCAAGCAATTTCAATAAACAGTTATAAATATTAATGAAGCACACAGCAGGGGATCCCACCCAGTCAATTAGTTGGGGAAAATATCCCTGAAGAAGTGGACTTCAAGCGAAAACCTTAAACATGAACAGGAAGTAGCCATGGGAACAGGCAAGTAGAAAAAGCGTTCTAGAGTGAGAGAGAAGATGGAAAATCAAAGTAAGCAAGTTCAATATGGCTGAAATTTAAGAGTAGGGCATAAGGAGCGCTAAGAAAAGTGATATTTAATAGGTCAGATATATATATATATTTTTTTATAATATATTTTTATATTTTAAAAATATAATATATTTTTTTTATAATATATATATATATATATATATATATTTTTTTTTTCGGTACGCGGGCCTCTGTTGTGGCCTCTCCCGCTGCGGAGCACAGGCTCCGGACGCACAGGCCCAGTGGCCATGGCTCACGGGCCCAGCCGCTCCGTGGCATGTCGGATCTTCCTGGACCGGGACACGAACCCGTGTCCCCTGCGTTGGCAGGCGGACTCTCAACCACTGCGCCACCAGGGAAGCCCTAATAGGTCAGAGATATATTTAATAGGCGTCTCAACTAAAACACATCATAGGCAGAGCTCTTGATTTCCTTCTTCCAGTCTTCCCAGTCCCTCTAAATGGTATCACCATTCATCCAAGTTCTCAGGATAAAAATCTAACATGCTTCCTTGAGACTTTTCCTCAAGCTCCATATCAAGTCCGTCAGTAAGTCCTGTTAGCAGTACTTTCAGAATATACACCAAATCCAACCACACCAGCTCCACTATTACTTCACTCCAAGTCACTATCATCTCATTTGGAGTACTACATCAGCTCCCAACTGGCCTCCTGGCTTCCACTCTTACTCATGGCTCTCTACATGGCAGCCAGTGATCTTTTAAAAGTATACATCATATTATATCACTCCCTGTTCCAAACCTACCAATGTGATCCCAAACTTATAACAAAATCCAAGCCAAATGCCCATAAGCCTTTACCAGATGAGGTCGTTTATTTTTCTGATATCTTATACTTCCACTCTTCTCTTTACTCACTTAGCTCCAGCCACGCTGGCCTTTTTTCTGTTCCTTGGTCACACCCCTAAGCTTGTTCTCACTTTTGAGCTTTTGCACTTGCAATTCCCTATGCCAACAATGCTCTTCCCGCAGATCTGCTCAAATGTCACTCCCCCAGGAGTTCGTTCCTGACTACCCTATCTTATCTTATCCTACAGCCACTATTCCCCCAATCCATCATTCTCAAGACCCTGCTTTATTTTTCTTCATAGCACCTAACATCGTACTGACACTGTTTCCCTGTTTATGATCTGATTTCCCCCCAAGAATGTAAGCTTCATGAGATGAAGGGCCCTGCTGTATCCCAGTATCTAGAACACCACCTAGCACACAGCAGGAGTTAAGTATTTGTAGAATGAACAGATGAATGAAAGATTAAAAAGAGTGTTAAGACTATAAAGAGCTACTATGATGCATTAATTTGTCTCAAAGCAATGAAAAACCATTTGTAGATTTTGAACATGGGAGTGGCAAGTTAAGATTTGCTTTCTGCACACCTCACTCTGGCTGTTGTGAGAATTCAAGGTAGGAGAACAAGAGCAGAAAGAGAGACCAGTGAAGAAACTATCGTAGAAGTGAGAGTTAGTAGCTTAAACTGGACAGTTAGTAGTATGAACATTAGACATATTACAGAAAATATCACCAGAATAGGACCTGGTGAATAACTGGACGCGACCCCTCGACTGAGCTTTTCCTAACTCTTGCGGGCTGCTCCTCGGTGCCCCCCGCCCCCTTACTGTATTCACGCTTCTGTTACAGCACCTCACACTGCACAGCACTTCTAGTCTATTTATAACTAGACTTTTCCACTAGATTCCTCCAGGGCAAGAACGGTATCGGGCATCCCTAAAACCTCTCTTGAACGAAGGTCACCTCAATAATGCCTACTGAATAAAGGTCAACCCCATTAGGTGGCATAACTAGCCCTGGAATTCAGAGCTGTAGTTTATTCTAGGTCACTTGTACGCTTCTCTTAAATTTCGGAAAAATCCATGGTTCAACACTGCCCAACAAACACTACGAGCACCAGCAACCAGAGAGAGACCTGTGCCGGTGGCCCTAGGAGGGAGCATCTGAAAGCGCAGGTCACGCAGAAGGGAGGGAAAAAGCTCGCGGCGCCCAAAGGACCTGGACACAGAAATTGGCTGCCAAGAACCAGGCGACACTCCGCACAGAGGGCAGACCCACATCCGCGGCTTTCCTACTAGGCGGGCCAGCGACAGACCGACAGAGGACGTACCGGCCTCCCTGGGGTGGCTCTGGCTCCGCCACCGCGGCGGCCATCATGGGCCTGTATCCCGCCCCCTCACCTCCCCAAAAGCCTGGAAGCGACGGGGCAGACACTCACAAGGGCTTGGTCTCGGAGAGCGAGTGGCCGGAGACACAGAGGTGGAAAAGGCTCGAAGGGTTCTGGCTCGCGGCTGCAGGACCAGGAACGCAGGGAGCCGAGCGGCCGCCATGGCTGCGAAGACGGCAACACAGAGGTGGAAAAGGCTCGAAGGGTTCTGGCTCGCGGCTGCAGGACCAGGAACGCAGGGAGCCGAGCGGCCGCGATGGCTGCGAAGACGGCAAGCGGGAAAGGACAAGCGCGCTACCGGGTCAAGGGGCGGGTCTGAGGCCCTATTGCGCAGGCTCGCCGCGTCTTGCCCCGCCCCTGGGAGGGAGAAACAGAAAACACGTGGGCCTGCGAATTCAGAGCCCGAGTACAGAAAAATACCCCCCCGCATAGAGAAAGTAATGAAAAGAAAGTAAAAAGATTTTTTTAAAAAATCGAAGCAGTCAGTCCAAAGACAATTGTAAATAAGGACCATAGGGATGGGGGAAATGTGGCTTACAGAGGGCAGGTGAGGGCAGAACCTCAGATGGCCCGGGTCAGGTAGTCTACCCTAAGCCCCTGCTTCTTCGCAATTGCTGCTTTTCTGCACTTTCTTGAATTAAAGGAAGTCTTCAGCTAGTGCAAGTGATATGCTTTGAGGAGAGAGGCAGTATCCAATAGTAATAAAAGGATAGCCTCTTGAACCAGACTAGTACTTGAGTTTAAAACTTGACTTCACCATCTTTAGGATGTGTGGTCCTAATCAATCAAACGTCTGGGTACAATACTAGCATACACTGAGCGCCGCGTGCGCATAGGCTGTAACTGCTATCAATGATTTGGTTAGCTTGTTTGTAGGTCAGGTTAGAATTAAAAAGGCAGAACTCATCAGGACCTAGAAAATAATGGTATCCTTTAATGAGCGCTCTTATTTTCTACCATAGGATGGATTAACATACAACTCTTAATAAAATTATCCTCTCTTCTTTTCAATCGGTATGTATAATACTCAAAGTACCAGAGTATGATAACAAGAACAAGTGGGAACAAACACAACTGTCTCTTGGTAAGCATACCATGTAGAGCAGAGCTGTGCAGGTGTCCCAGGGTATTCTACCTGCGAACATCTGGTGTGCCATGGGCATCAATCAGTATGTGGCATGATAAGGACAAATACTTGTAATAATCACCATCCTCATCTTTTCTGACCTCTTATTATCCTATTATTGCTTCAAAGCAGAAGTATGGTGTACTAGATGTGTATTTGTTTGCTAGGGCTGCTGTAACAAAGTACCAGAAACCGGGTAACTTAAAACAGAATTTTGGGCTTCCCTGGTGGCGCAGTGGTTGAGAGTCCACCTGCCGATGCAGGGGACATGGGTTCTGTGCCCCGGTCCGCGAAGATCCCCCATGCCGCGGAGCGGCTGCGTCCGTGAGCCATGGCCGCTGAGCCTGCGCGTCCCGAGCCTGTGCTCCGCAACGGGAGAGGCCACAACAGTGAGAGGCCCGCGTACCGCAAAAGAAAAAATAAAAAAGTAGAATTTTATTCTCTTACAGTTCTAGAAGCTAGAAGCGCAAAATCCAGGTGTTGGCAAGGGATGGTTCATTCTGGATGTTTTGAGGGAGAATCTGTTTATGCCTCTCTCCTGGTTTCTGATGGTTGCTGGCAGTTTTTGGCTTTCTTTGGCTTGTAGACACATCACTCCAATCTCTGTCTCCATCTTCACATGGTATTACCCCCTGTCCTCCATTTTTAAGATTAAAAGCATGGCCTTTAAATCAGACGGATGTGGGATTTGAATCCAGGCTCTGTTTCTTTGTGATCTTGGGCAAGTCCACCTAACCTCTCTGAACTTCAGTTTCAGAGAAAATGGGAACAATATTATCTTCTTGAGGACCACAGTGATTAGGTGAGTAATGTTTCAGAAGGCATAACATAAAGGTGGCCATTAGAATTAAGCTCAGGGTCAATGCAGCAGCCACTTTTTCTCTCAATTTTGTATATTTTAGTAGGATAAAGTACAAGGCCTATCCCATAGAAATTTAAGGACAAATGAGTATGAATCCTTATAGAATTAGTTCATATCCAGAGACTTCTCAATTTCTGAGCAAGATGTTAAGAGACTTAGTTCCTTGCTCAAACTGCTTATGCTTTCGTTTTACTCTCTCCCTAAGACTAAAGTAGATCGATATGACTGGAATTAGAAGAGCCAGAAAAATACTTATTGTTTTCCCTGATATCAAGTACTATGAAGTTCGTTCTATATTGAAAGTTAAAAACTCACCTGTAATGCTATCAACGGGCAATAATGCTATGTGTTTCATGCAGTGTATAGAGTAAAGCATGTACTGACATGTACATAGGAGTTAGTAAGAATAACATACTCTTTCAGTTAGAAAAGATCTTAGAGGGGCAATCACTCAATCATGATAGAAATCTTTTCATTAGCCTTAGTGACCAAATAACCCAGTATACTGTAGAAGCTAGGCTGGTTTCGTGGGCTTGTGACATATACTTAGAGGAATCCTGTGCTTGGCTTAATGCTCTGCTGTCCCTGTCTTGAAATTTTTAATAGTTTTTAAACAAAGTTTGCACTGGGCCCCACAAATTATGTAGTCAGTTCTGTGTAGATCAATTTTAAATATTAAGATTTTTAATAATTGGTATTTGAAAACTGCATTAATCCAATGACTTTTTCAGAGAGCTATTTTTAATCAAAACTAACTTTATAAAGAGTGAGTGAACCAAACTTCCAGTTATAAGATAAATAAGTACTTAATGATGTGATGTACAGCATGATGACTGTAGTTAACACTGCTGGATGGTATATTTGGAAGTTGCTAAAGGTTCTCATCACATGGAACATTTTTTTTTCTTTTTTTTTTTGCATCTATATGAGATGATGGATGTTAACTAAACTTATTGTGATTTTCATTTCATAATATATGTAAGTCAAACCATTATGCTGTATAAACTAATACAGTGCTGCACGTCAGCTATATCTCAATAAAACTGGAAAACACTAACTCAAAAATAAATAAATATGCACTTACAGAAAAAAGTGAGTGAACAAAGTATGTCTATTCACAAGCATGGTAAATTGACAATATGCAAATATCCAGGTATGCAACTCAAATATCCATCAAAACAGTACAGATTAAATACATTATGGTGTATACATACAACATAGAATACTACTTAGACACATACATCTTAATCCCAGTTGAACATTAGAATTATCAATACTTTAGGAGGTTAAAAAAACCTGTCTAGGCCTCTCTCTGAGATGCTGGTCAGTTGGTCTAGGTGTATTTGCAAACTTGGTGGGTTTTTTTGCTTTTGTTTTAAGTTTCCCAAGTCAATCTAATATGCAGGCAGGACTGAGAACCACTGATGTCAGCCTTGTAAAGGATGAAGTGGATATAAATGTATTAGCATGGAAATTTTTCCACAATATATAGTTTTTAAAATGCAGGTTACAAGACACTTATAGATATAATTCCATTTGTGTAAAATACTTTCCATATGCACTACACATTCTTGAAGGGTAAACAGTAAACTGGTATGGGGTGTTGGTGAGATTCCTGAAGACTTAACTTTCTATACTTCTGTACTTAAATTTTTACATCAAAATGCAGATTTAAAAAAATGAGAATACAGTATTTTTAAAATCAGCCAATGCTTCACATCTTTATTTTCATTTTTAAAAACATGGTGAGTCTTTGACATATCTTCCAGCTATTTATTTTTTAAATTTATTTTTTAAAATATTTATTTTTGGCTGCGTTGGGTCTTCGTTGCTGCGCGCGGGCTTTCTCTAGTTGCGGCGAGCGGGGGCTACTCTTCATTGCAGTGCGTGGTCTTCTCATTGCGGTGGCTTCTCCTGTTGCGGAGCACAGACTCTAGGCGCCTGGGCTTCAGTAGTTGCGGCACGTGGGCCTAGTAGTTGTGGCTTACGAGCTCCAGAGCACAGGCTCAGTTGTTCCACGGCATGTGGGATCTTCCTGGACCAGGGCTCGAACCCGTGTCCCCTGCATTGGCAGGCGGATTCTTAACTAATGCACCACCAGGGAAGTCCCTCTTTCAGCTATTTATAACACAAATGTTTACAATTTGTATTAGACTTTTCAAAATTTTGGTAGGCTTACACTTCAGTATAGAAAATGTTGTCACAGTCATTGTCTCCTTTGAATTAGTTGAAGTCATTCACATTTTACAGATAAGAGAACGAAGAGTTAAACCACTAGACTGCTCTTAAGAGAACTGGGACTCAAACCCACATCTGATTCCAGGTTGAAAACTCTTCTTACCCTGTTACACCACCTTCTGGATAGCTTACGCTACACAGCTTTGCTGCAGACAGGGGTCACTGTACACAAGGAAACGTAAGTTGACGGAGTATCATAACCTGCCAGGCGCATTCCAAGTAACAATAATTCTTGCTTAACAACTGGAAGAGATGTCTCTCGCACCTATTTGTCCCTGCTTATCGAAGACAGGGCTAAAATGCTTTCCTTGAACTTTTGGTTTCCTGGAATGAAGGAATGTCATATTTAAGAAGTTTGGAAATCAGCGTTCTAATTGTGATTATATTTCATCCAATCATCAGCAAATGACGTAAGCTTTACCGTCAACTCCTCCTCTTCACCCCTCCTCCTCTGCCACGTTGGTCCAGGCTACTCTTTTCTCTCCTGAATTATTATAACAGTTTCTTAGCTGCCCCCACCCTGGGCTCTGCCACTCTTTCCTCCCTGCAATCTAGTCTCCACCCAGCAATCAAGTGAGGTTTTTAGTGTGTAAGTCAGATCAAGGCATGTCTGTCCCCGTATCACTCAGAGTAAAATCCAGAGTCCTTACAAATATGATCTGCTTCTCCTGTTTGCTGGCTCCTTCTCCGACCTCATCTCCTAACAATCTCCTTCCGGGTCACTTTGCTCCATCCACACATCCTCTGTTGCTATGCCTCAAACACATCAACTCCACTCCCGTGTCAGGCCCTTGGCACCTGCAGTTCCCTATGCCTAGAGCAC